AGAAGAAGAAGAAGAAGAAGAAGAAGAAGAAGAAGAAGAAGAAGAAGAAGAAGAAGAAGAAGAAGAAGAAGAAGAAGAAGAAGAAGAAGTTGTTTTCAGATTGAATCATTAGAAATCTGTAATAAAAAGACAAATGTAAGGAACATTCTCAAAAGATAATGAGATGGGAATAATCAAGATGTGGCTTTTTATTTTTTTAAAAAAATTAAAATATGAATACATATTTGCAGTGCATAGCAATTCCATTCCTCTTTTTCTTTTCCTCCACTTCCCTCCTTCTCCCCTCCTGAAGTTTTATGATATATTTTACTTTTTAGTAATTTGAAATTTTAAGCTTTTGAAATAATTATAGCCTTTTGGAACTGTGCAAAGACACTGCCAGGGCCTGAATATTTTCTGGAAGATTCCTCCAGTGGTAGCACCTTATGTAATTTAGTGCCTCATGAGACTGAGTACCTCACCTTGGCATGGAGTAGATGTATACTTTCACGTTTTGTTGGTTTTTTTTTTTTCTTTTTGTTTTTAATGTATTTAGTTGTTGCAGGGTCTCACTATGCAGCTCGGGCTCAGGTTGATCCCCCTGCTTTCAGCCTCCCCAGTACTGGGATTACAGGTGTGTGCCACCACACCCAGACTCTGTGGCTGGCTCAGCCCACCCCAGGGGTGGGGCTGACATGGCATGTGGTTCTGGGGATCAAACTGTGGTCCCTGCCCTTGCCTAAGCAGGCACTTTGGTCTGCTTTGCTATCTCACCAGCCCTGTATTTTCATGCAATGACCACATAGCGTAGGCTCATGTAACCACCGCTGCAAGCCAGACACAAAACTTTTCCATCAGCACAAAGGTCTTTCATCTCATCCTTGAGCTGTGTTGACAGCTAAGTGGTCCTGTACTGCCTAGTGGTGTCACCTTGAACATTCACTAAAAGGAATCATACAGCGTACTATCCTTTGAAGTCAGCTTTTTCTCCTTTGAGCTTCATGTTTGTAATATTCTTCCATGTTCCATGATCCAAGATTTCTTCATCATTAATCAGGAGTTCATTGTTTGTTGGTCAAGTAGTGCAAAATGCATCCACCTCAGTGTATTTAAACTTTCACCAATTTAGGAATATTTTGATTGTTTTGAAATTTATTACAGATAAATCTGGAAGGAACAATTATGTGCAGATTTTAGTGTGCACATAGATTTTTTTCCCCCCTCTGGGATAAATGCCAAAGAGGGCAATAGCTGGATCTTATGAAAAGTGTATTTTTATTTTTAAAACTTTATATGCTATTTTCCAGTATAGCTATAATTTCTCACCAATCATGCATTAGAAATCTAGTTCTATAAGCTCCAGCATTTGGTATTAATATTTATTATTTATTATTTTATTTTATTTTTGTGGTACCAGGGATTGAACTCAGGACCCTGCACTTGCCACACAAGCACTTATTCTATGAACTATCTCCCCAGCCCCAAGATTTTTTAAAAGTATTTATTTTCATAGAAATGCACTGATACTTTCTGATAGTATTAGCTTAAATTTCTTTAATGGGTAGCATGGACAAACATTTCATGTATTTAACTAACTTCTGTATGTTGTCTTTATGGAATTGTTTCTTTGTGTCATTTTCATGTTTTCTAAATAGATTTTTATAGTCATTTTGAGAGTTGTTTACACATTCAAAGAATGAGTCCTTTATCAGCTAAGTGTTTTTAAAATATGTTTTTTCACAGTTAATAGCTTCATATTTATCTTCTTTATGAAGTCTTACAAAACAAAAGTTTATTTTGGATGAAACTCAGTATATAATTATGTTCTCTTGTGAATCATGTTTGTGATAGCACTTCTAAAATATCTTTGCCTAGCCCTAGATCTCATTGACATTTTCCTAAAAATTTTATAGTTTTATGTTTTGTATTGGAATTTATAATCCATTTAATTTAACTTTGTATAAAGTGAGATTTTGGTGAAGGCTAATTTCCTTTCTTTCAAATAGACTTTTTTTTTGGGCAGGACATAATGTTTACATTCCTTATGGGGACATAACACAGTATTATGTCCCCTCAGCCTTCTTTTCCCCTTTCCCTTTCTTTTACCTCCTCCTTCACTAATAATCCAATTGCTGCAACACCTATGTTTAAAGCAATCTCTCCCCCATTGAATTCTCTTCACCCACCTTATTTACCATCTGCCACCATGTGACTTGTGGCCCTTCCCCCAAGGTCAAACTGACTGTGTAGGCAGGACTGTATAAATAGTACACTGGAGGGACTTTTATTTTCATGTCATTCATTAGAGCTATAGATTAACTCATCTTGCATATATATTATTTTATACACTTTGACCTACATCTCTTCATGTGTAGAAGGAAAGCATCTTAGTTTTACATCAACAAAATGCAGTAGCATAATAATTATAGTATAATAATCCTACTGAATAAAAGCTTTTGACAACAAAGAATATAAGGAAGATAATTCGCTCCCCCAATTATAACCCACAATACACTTTTCTTATATGTTCCCTTGTTAAATCTTCAGTTTGACCACCTTTTATTGTATGTCTATTGCGTTCTCAAAATGTCCTACACATTCTACAATGAAGAAAAAAATGAGTGCAACTAAGCCATTGATGTTTTTACTGTCTATTGCCAAATTCACCATCAAAATAAATTATGGGGGTACATAAAGCTTGATATGTGGGTGAATTTTTTGTAAGGGAGAAGTTTATTAAAACAGTAATTTGGGTGAGGCGTGGTGCCATAGCCCATAATCACAGAATTGAAGAGGCTAAAGTGGAATTTCTATGAGTCTCAGACCATCCTGGGTTATATAGGGAGATCTGTATCCAACAAAAATAAAATAGTCATTCAGCAGAAATTCGTGGGCTATTGAAAAAGATATGCCTTATGTGACTGAGTATTGAACAGTTGGAATATCATATATATATATTATATCATATCATAATATATATATATATATATATATATATATATATTTACCTATATAAAATGAAGTTGGTTGCGTGAGTTAAGGTAGGCAAACATTAATTTTGTGTGTTTGGATGATTTCAACAAGAACATCTATTAACTTGGCTGTGCAAAGAGGTTCCAGGTTACGAATGAGTAAAACAGACTATTCAGAGAGGAAAGGCGGGACCTGACTAGGACCTGACCAGGGTAAGACTGTTGAGTTTTACTCTTAGGCTTTTGCTATTTGGTCCCCGCACGAAGGTCCTATCCACCAGGAAGTTCTGGTCCATCAGATATTCACCCTGTACTAAGGAGCAGCAGAGAGTTATTGCAGAGCCTGAATTTGGAAAAAACACAATACAAACCACATTTTAGAGACATTAGCAGTGTCACTTTGCATGGTTTCAGTAGGTACTGCAGTAGCCCAGGTGTGAAACAACAAATTTAAATGCACACTCTCCTTTCACACCATGTCTTACCAGGTTTAGCATCTGCAGCGGAGCCGTGGAATTAAAATTTGTTGATTGCTTTCATTTCACAGAGCACTGTACCAGACAGCATCCCTGTGTCTTCTCGCTTAGCTTTCATCCACACTCCAGAGGCATGTATTGTTGCCATTCTTTAGATCAAGGCTTCCCCCCTACCAGTGTCTCACAGCTACGATTTAGACCCAAACTCTGGACAGTGTACGGCAACGTCACTTCTATGCCTAGTAAGGTAGAAAGTCAGTCTTGAACACTCGAGATCTTTCAGATTTGAAACTGTGTTACAGCTAGGGCAGCTCTTACCTTCTTTTACCCAATTACTTTATTATCCACAATTCATCCCGTAAAATATGATATCAATTCAATGCTGTGGGGCTATGGAAACAAGGTTCCTATTTTTTCACCTTCTCCATTCAGGCAATGTCCCAACAGACCTCCAGTTTTGGGTTCAGAGGGTCTGGAGAGTACAGAAACTGGTCCCATCTGTCAGTAGACAATTAAGAAACTGGCCTGTGATTCATTTTCTGAGCTAACATGGAACCATGCCGCTGATTACCCATTTCCATTGTTTATGGCGAGCCAGGCGGATGAACAGCTCTCCCTGATTTATGAAGTGCTTGCCTTCTATAAATCACGGTGTAGAAACCCAGCATGCTGCTAATCCTAATTGTTTAAGTCCTAAGTAGGGAGTGATTAGAAAGGCTTAGGGAAAGAAGGTACCTTATGCAAATGAGGGAGCTATAGCTCCTTGGGAGGAAGAGCCCCTCCCCCACCCCCTTCAGAGTATGTAGCAGACTTTGGTGGAATCCTGTTGCCTCCTTCCATCTCCGTCTGGTCAGTCCTCATGGATCTTTGATTTGTTAAGTTGTGGGGAGAGGTGCAGATAGTGGGCATGCACAAACAGGGCAGAGACGGTGCTGTGTCCTCACTCAGGCTCTCATTGTTTAATTTCAACCTCCACTAATTTTTGAATCCCTGCACGCCATTCATCATGATAAAGGAAGGCTATGCATTATGCTCCACAGTATTCTTTTGGATAATGGGAAGCACGGGGGTGTTGACCGTGCAAGTTCCCTGAAGCTGTATTTGCTCTTTCTGGGGAGCCCATGCCATGGCATTTCCAAGTACTGAGTGACAGCATTTTGAGCTTGTTTACAAAGTGGTGAAAAACCTAAATATGACCCAGTCCACAACTTGGAATTAGAAATCTGATAAGCCTAAGAATACAGAGTCTGTTTCCAAAGAAGCAAAGCAACGCATGGATCCTATGTGATCTGTTCCTCCATCCCAAGGCAGTGGTTGAGGGCACAGCAATGTCCATGTGCAGCTCCTTTAAAGGAGCAATAAGTTTTGAGATTACAACTCAGGGAGAGAAAACACCATCCTTTTGTTTCAGGTAACTGTAAGTATTGTTCCTTTGGCTAACTTCTTTTTTCATGTCCTCTTCTTTTCCCTCCATCTTCTTGTTCCTAATTTTCTTCCCTTTGGTACTCCCCCCCCCTTATTTCCCCTCCTTCTGTTTTTCTCCATGCATTTGGAACCCACAGCAGGTGGAGCAGGAGCAGCGTCTCAGAACTGGATGATGAGCCGGCTTGCTTGGAAGAGATTGACTACACTTCAGATGTCAGCTCAGACCAAGACGGAAGCATCCCTGAGCTAGACCGGCAAATCCAGGAGTGTGTCTCCAATCAGGATGAGGCAGAAGAAGAGGATGGTGCCAGGCAGAACAGAAATGCCATCCTGTAATCCCCACAGTTCCCAAAATGTCTGTTTCTGACTACTGGACTCAGACACACACAGTGTGAAACAGCCAGCCTGTGTGAAGTCCTGATTTCATTCTAGCTCCACTATGCATAGAATCTGGGTACTTCATGATTATAATGTTTTTCTACACTGTTGTACTGCCCTTGGAACCTAGGCATGCTGCCATTGTGATTAGAATGGGGCCCCAGTGTATGGGATTATCATGGGACCTCTCCACACAGTACCGAACTCTCTGGCATCTCTGTGCTTGAAGCCAACTGGAAGCAGCAGAGTGGGGCTGAGAAGCCAGGAGTCTATGTGACTTTAAGTTGTTCCATATATGAGTGTTCTATGAGAGATAGCATCTGAGTTTTCTAGCACCAACATTAGCCTCAATGAAACCTTGAGGGCCCTGGAAAGGTCATATGGTACTGGTTGATTAAGCATAAAATACTGTGCAGCCAAGTAATTGCAAGTGTCATCCTTCAGGTCTGTACTAGTATATGGTTTATGGATTTGGTAGAGACCTGAATAGATTTTATGGAATAAAAGATGGTCACTGGTCCTCACAAATTTCTAAACCTTGTATATTCAGTCCATTAAGCCTGTGCTGGAAGACAACATAGTGCCCTGGAAAATGCATTCACTTCAGAATCAGACAGACAGATGAGGCTCATATCCTGGGTCTGGCATTACTCATTATGAAAACTTAAGCAAGTCTCTCCAAATTTCAAGGATTTTATATACTCAATAAGAATGAGTGTTTATATACCATGAAGTTATCCTAAAGACGAAATGAAATAAAACTGTGCAGTTTGGCACACACTGTATAATAGTGTTAGCTTTTTCCCCTCCATGACACAAAGGATTCTATATAAGTGTTCTTACAGCTACAAAAATATGTTCTCTGGGGCCACATGATTGAGATATAGTCTTACTGGAAGGACTCTGGAAAGGAAGTTCCGTGGGGAAGAGCTTTGGATGGTGATGCTTTACAAGTCTGTGTGCAGCGAGAAGCAGCTCAGAGGTATGATTGGTGAGGTCAGCAGACAGTTAGAGAATGGGAGGTAAGATGAGTAGATTCAAAGTCAAATATGGGTTTACTCAAAACCATATGTATTTAATCAGAATTAGATTTGGCTATGAGAGGTGGGAAATTCAAAATGTTAGCAATACATTTTCTTTCATATAGAATTTCTCATGTCCAGAGGTCAGAGCTGAGGTCATGTTTGTGCAAGGACAGAAACCCAGCGTCTAGTCCTCCAGCTCTAGTGCATATTGCTTCAACTCTTGATCTAGAATTGCTGGGAAAGCATCAGCTACTTTCTCTGCAACCCAGAGAGAAGCTAAAGAATTGCTCCAAACAGGATATGTTTCCTACTTTTCAAGAAACTATACGGAGCATTTGTCCTTGATCCTACTAACCGCAAAGTAGTTCTGTGATCGCAAGTAACTCCAGGAGAGGTTGGATGATCAATATTTTCAAAAGAGAGCTTGTCTGATTTACCATCGACCACCAGAAAGTTTTGGAAACATTAACATAATTCCACAGAAAAATTACAATGTTCTGTTCCTCTTGGTTAGCGGAAAGACGCAGATCAAAATTTTACTAGAATTCAAACATAAGACATAAGAAAAAGGCATGTGTGTTGTGTTTTAGGAAACTGACATTGTTGATAATCTCTTCTGTTTCCAACTCTTTTTCAAATTTTCTTGCTGCATCTCAGAAATCTCACCTCCATCCTTCATAGTAAGACATTCACATTTCCATGGCATACATAAGAAGTTTAAAAGAAATAGCGAAGACCCTGAATTCAAACCCAAACTAACGGCATCCCTTAACTTTTCCCTTATGCCCTTTTTCCACTGATAAATTGAGGAATACATAATGCTCCTGTTTCTCCATTGTTTCGAAGAAGCAAGACAATAATATTGTTGAAACGTAAAAGCTGGAAAAGGGGTGAGAGCAATACTAACTCATTGCCAGCAATTAATACCTCTGCCTGAATTAATAATTAATTAATTTCTCACATTTATGAGAAAAAGGAACAATAGCAGGTAAGTTTCAACAAGGGAACTTTTGAAAAAATCAGGAACTTGTAATATTGTTGGTCTTTCTATACAACAAAAGTAAGTTAAAGGATCACTGTGTGTCCTGCATTTTATTAAGTCATAGAAAACTTACAGTGAACTCAAGTTACAGTTAACAGGAATAGCACACAGTTTATTTTAGTACAGCGTTGTACAGTTATGTAAAGGATAATATGGAGCTATATAAAGGATAATATGGAAAACACTTAAGATTTCAATGGTAAGATCTTCTAGAAGTTGAAAATTTAGATGCCATGCAGGAGTTTACAGGCAGAACATGGAGGAAATACATATGAAGAAATATAACTAAGAAACAGACACCTGTGGAGAGATTTGGACATGGACTAAAATGTCCAGTGTTGCTAAATTAATGGATATATTTGTCTATTGAGGAAAGAGGACATTAACATGAGATTTAATAGAAAAACTAGAGTACAGTCAGATTTAATATTTGTTGTGCTCGATGGAAGGGGCGAAACTTAATTCTGAATGTGATAGGGGAGATCTCAAGACTTTTTGGCAGACGCACATTGAGAGCTAGGCTGGACACCAGTGTGCATGTGTCAGTACCCCAGCCCCAACCTGCTTGTAGCCTATAGGTTGGTACTCTTGTCAGGCTGGTTATTCACTAATGTGAAGCAACTCCTGGGCCTGACATTATGACAGCTGAAGAACAGAGTGTTTGCACTGAGGGGAAGATTATGGGAGCCATTTGTGACTATGCAAACTGTTCAGAGACCCACAAGGTACTGTGCAGGAAGGGACCCTCACCAACACAGTACATCAGGAAATGGAAACGGAAGGAGAAGTATACCTGGACAAGCCCACAGTTAGTGCCACCTCTATGCACACAACTTGTTCAGGTGCATAACCCCTTGACATTAGAACCATCTCACGTATTTCCCTCATCTCTGGTGAGCTTCTCTTCTCCCATGAATCTATTGGGGATAACCAAAACCAACTCAGATTCACCTTTCTCCATAGAATCTTTTCTACACACCCAAGCCAGGTTATATAACCTGTCCTCTGTGAACCACTGTACTATTTATACATTTATTCTACAGCACATTTGCCATTCCCAACTTGACTTACATGCTTTATATAGTCATACCCCAGGCAGTACTGAGGAGTGAGCTCTAAAATGCATGAGCCTGCTATTATTTTGGCATCGCTCATTGTGCTGAGCAGACGTCTTGACATGTTGAAGGAATTCACAAAAATGTGTCCCCCACTTGCCCTCTAGCTTCCAAACCAGACATTTAACATCTTAATGAAATTGCATATATTTGCTTGATTTTCTCCAATTTTCCATCTTCAATCAGTGTTCATGTTATATGGAAGAAAAATAGTTTAACTAAAAGGGCATCCTCCAAAGGCACAGAGCCTCTCTGGCAGGTGGTTGCCATGGAAGGCTGCCTCTGGGCGAGGCGTGCTTGAGAAGGAGCCCAGTGGCCTTGTCCTCACATGTACAAAGCAAACATTCAGACAGAGCAGTGACAGTAGAAGGACAGCATCCCTAAGTTTCCCTACTGGCTGCGGCATTCATCCAGGTGCTCTGGACCATGCACTCACATTGGTGGGAACTGGCTTTTGCAGCTCTGTGTGCCTTGTGCCAACTTGGCTTCCTAGGCACTTCTTGCAATGGCATTAGTGAGTTTCAACATCCGAGAATTCCATCCATTGGCTCTAAGTTCTTCTAAGCCTCCAGAAAGGAATTCAGAGCCACAAAGAACATCTGAGACGGCTAACCTGATCCCTGAGTTACAAGCTCATGTTGAGGGTTGCCAACACTAGTAAGTTCACATGAAATTCTTAATGGGAGGAGACATTCTCGTGTGTAGCTTCCATTTATCAGCCTGGAAAACTTAGCTGTAGAGTTGATTTTTATATTCTGAGAGGAGCCTCTGCCTTATGCTAAGAGAAGAGGCTCCTATGAAATGCTTGACCTAAGTCAACCTCATTAGGAACTCAGCACAGTGACACATGTGGTACATCTGAACATTTGGGCTAGCATTAGTGATAGATTTATTTTGTTCTACTGGTACCTCACAGCTTGGCTCTGAAAAGCTTCCATCTTGGAAAGATGCACAGACAGCAGCATACTACTCATGGCCAGAGATTTTTGGGCAGCAATAACTCATCAGGTCTGGAGCTACTACTATCTGCCCAGCAGATATTTTCTTGTTTGTGTTGCAAATTGACTTCATCCCCCTCCCACATTCTTGATGTTAAAAAATATTATTTAGATAAAAGTGAGTGGTAGAAAGGACTTTTAAAAATGGGTTGGCTTGACTCCTTTCAGTAGCTAATAATAAAATAACTTAATAACTAATAATTTAAAATATCTACTACATATATGCTAGCACCATGAGGCTGAAGTTGAACTTAAACTCCCTGCCACATCTGTCAACAGAGAGAGAGAGAGAGAGAGAGAGAGAGAGAGAGAGAGAGAGAGAGAGAGAGATTGAGATTGAAGTAAGACAGCAAGGGTGAAACAAGTTATATTATTGGTCACATAAGGCCGGAGGTGGCTAGGGATGATTTTAGATCATCTTCTCACACAGAGACAGAGGCCTTCAATGTATAAGAAAAGGATCATTCCTCATTATTCTGACATAAACCCTTCTCCAAATGCCTTGTAGACCCTAGGTCTATTTGGGTCACAAAGTACAATGGATTCGGACCCCTTGGAAGTGAACATATTCCATGAGAAAATTACGGAAGTAACTACATCTATATCTGTGACAGGCAGCCACTAAAAAGAGGGTGCTGGGCAGCTAACATGCCTGAGACAAACTGAGTCTTCTATGTTGGGGGATTTCTGTGATATTTTAGGGTCTTTTAGAGCTTAAGGGATTCAAATTACTTCTTGGAGGCAAACAAGTATTACGACCTTGACAAAATAATAATAACATTATAAGTATGATTCTTTGCAGAGATCCAGCTGAAATGTTTGAGTGTGACTGTAGTCTTTGTGGGCAAGGTAAGATGTGGCACCAGGGTCAGTTATGTAGTACCCGTACAGGAATGTGAGGAATCCAGGAAGCCCAAAGTTCTGTCATCCAAGCATACAGCATGTGTAGCCTCCATAAATGAATGTTCTTGGCGAGAATATGAATAGGCCCCAGCCACATTCCAGTCTAAATAAGATATTATTTTAGCAGGTGTCACTGAAGAAAACGTCTGGGCTGGGCGATAGCTCAGCAGTCTAAGCATCAGCCTGGCAAGCACAAGCACCTAGCTTCGATCCCAGGTACCACATGCCGTGCTACCATGCTGGCCACTGAAACTGGGCATGGTGGGTACATTCCTGCAATCCCATTTCTGGGGATGCTGAGACAGTATGCTCACTAGGAATCCAAGCTGCACAGAGAAACCCTGTACCAAATAAATAAAATAACAAACCAATTAAATAAAAATAAAGGAAATACCTGCTGGGATCCCTGCCCTACTCAGGCAATTACATAATCACTCTCTTAACTCTGACTCTCAACTGTGGGATAGATCAGCACTGAGATTGCCATCTTCAAGAAGAAACTCAGCTATATTTTCAGGGACAGTTTTAGGGAGGAATGGATGTGGAATTTGATCTCAGAGATGTGTGACTTCCCTATGCATGGTTGTTCCATTGCCCCAGAAGAAGTGACATCAACATTACCATAGCAATGGCCAGTTTAATTTAACATTAGTGAATAGGGACATTGCTGTCTAAAACTAGTTTAGACTACTGCATATGTTGTCATGTTTATCACACCACAGCATATGGACTGAGTGAGGACAGCCCTCTTCCTATGGTCATTTTATAGGTGAAGGTGCTAATAATCATGATTATCAAGTTAATTGGAGTAAGAAACACATAGGTTATTAAAGCATATTGCTGGGTGTTGGTTTTTTTTTTTTGTGGGGGGGGCTATTTCCAGAGAGGACTGGCATGCGGGCCAGTAAATTCAGTGAAGAAATATCCACATCTGATTAAGGGTAGCACCCCCCAGGAGGGTAAGGACCCAGGTGAAACAAAAGAGGAAGTAGGTGGAAGTCATCCTGTACTTACAAGCTCACATCTGGTTGTCTCCTGGAATGCTGTTATTGCCTGTGGATGTGAGAGTCCAGCTTCTTCAGCCTTTCACTATAGATTCATGCCAGAGTCTCCAGGCCACCTCCACACCTTCCGATTCCAGTCAGCACTGCATCCTTAATCCTTCTTGTTCTAAAGCTTCTAGTTTCTTAGGCTGAGCAGCTGCTGAGTCCTCTGGTTCCCCATTGTGGAAACAGCCTATACGGTTCTTTTATTCTGTTCCTCCAGAGAACCGTAATCTATACAATTAGTAAACGATAGAACCTTGACTTTACTACAGGCAATCTGTTTCCTAAACACATCAAAGAAAAACCACCTGTCTTCAAAGACCCCTAAGGACCATTTTGAGGCCATGGAATAACTCCCTGTTGCTAGGAAAACATGTTGTTAGTGGTTGTTTTCAATATTTCACCCAAATATAAATAATTTGTTTGCAACACCTCAAAAGGTTGAAAGCCAGACTTGCATTATCTACTCCCAGTCTCACTGAAATCTTCCTTGAACTTCCTAAACTTCACCATGTCAATCGGAATCTGTTCCCTGACACTCAACCCACATCCAAAAAAGATACTGAGCTCTTCACTAGAAGGATGAATCTGCTGAGAGTGCTCCAGTCTGATCTTTTAGCTTTAGCTTGAATTGATCCACAGCTTTCTCTGTTTGGGGGTGATTTTCATCCAGATTTCAGAATTATTTTCCTCTCATTCTTCTAACCTTTGTGTTTGCCTCCTCCCTGATTCTTTGAGCAGCACAATGGCATTTGGAATGAAAAATGATTTCTCTGTCTGATGCTGACATCGGTCAGTGGCTTCTTATGGCCCTGGGATAAATAAATGTGAGTGGACCCTGATCCTGAGCCCTTCCTGATCTAGTCTCTGTTTAGGTTTCTGATTTCTTAACATAAGTAGCTGCACCATGTGCTTACATTCTTCCTCCTCCGGGAACGGGGTTTGCTTCTAAGATCTCAAAACATGTTAAAGAAATCCGGTCAGTGTTGGTTGTATGATATTTCCTGGGAGCTCTTCTGTCTTCCCACCAGACTAGTTTTTTGGAGAACAAAGATGAACTTGTTTGTGACTGCACCCCAGCACCTTGCCCATGACGTAGCGGGATTTCATTTAATGTGTTGAATGATCGAGATCCTAATTTCCACTACAAGTTCTCCTAGAAATGACCTCCAGCCCATTGCCTCAGTAACCTACTAAATATGGATAGCGATGACACAGCAAAGTAGGATACGTGTGTGTCCAGCCAACACATGGTAGTAGGGAAGCATCTTGGAAAAATCTCCCTCAGCCCTTTCCTGCTGTGCCTCCTGGTCTGTAATTTTCCAGAATCAGCTTCCTTTTTCCTCAGAACGGCCTGTAGAGGTCAGAAAAGGGCCTCGGTTTCCAATCACCAACCGTCCTCTGGCTTCATTAGCATTCGCCCCGGGTGTGTATAATTAGGCAAGCCTAGGCTGGGCACATAGGAGCGGAAATGCATTGACTTTAATAAAACAGAGTGTAAAACAACTTTAGATTGACTCCAGCCTTGTTTATTCTTGCACACTTGTAATTCTGCTTTGGTATATTCCCCGTCAAAGAGAGCATTGTCCTGGGAGCTGAAGCTTGTCCCTTCATTGCCACAGCAGCCAGTCTGAGGAGGCCAGGGGCACCAGCTTGCTGCTCCTGGCTTATGGCAAATAAATAAATAAATAAATAAATAATAAATAATAATAAGAAGAAAAGAAAATGTGTATTTCTTAAAGAAAAACAATAACAAGAAGAGCATGTGGGCACTATGTGAAGAGCTCCTACTGAGGTTCTAGTGCTTTGCAAATGCATTCAGGGTCAAGAAATGGACTACGTAAATAATAAAAATGGAGCAGACACTGGTGGGATTGAAGAAATGATGATTTTGTTCCGCAGGTTATCGGCTAATGTACAGAAAGGGAATTACATCAAAACTGTCCAAAGCTTAGGATCGGGTGCTGTCACTTTAATGAATGACTCTGGCATGACCATTCCCTTCTGAATCTCCAATTCTCCATTTGAGGGGGGAAGGCTTGGGTCTGATGAGATGTAAATCACTTGCATTTCCCATAGCCAGCAGCCCACTGCGATTGCTGCAGGCCCGGCTGACCCCGGCTGGTGAAGAGGCAGCGTGAGGTGGCTATACTGGTGCTCTGTCTCCGCAGGGACTGAGGCCAGGCCAGCACAATGACCCTTTCAGAGCTGAGAGCTGTGATGTTGACACCCTGCCAATGCCCAGCAAAATAAAAGCTTCCGAAATCAAGGCTAAAAATAAATAATAAAATGAGGTGACAACATAAACAGGAAGGCTTAACGGAGAGGGGGCTGAATTGAGTCAGCAACTTGTGGGGTTGGGTGGGGAAGACCAATTCATGTTCACGTGCATTTATCAGCCCTTTGGGTGGCTGGACTGGAGAATTGAAAGCAATGAAGTGGGAGTTTGCTGCTGTCCTGGGACAGTGTAGGACAGAGGTGAGGCTACTCTCTGTGGTCATTTCCTCTGCACTGTGCAGTTGCCCCTTCCTCTTTGCTGACTCTCTGTTGGTTGTTCAAAGAGAGAGAGAGCTCTTACACAGCCCTGCTCCCTCCCATCCCTGGTCTCCTGCTGGGCCTGTGCCAGCAGCCCTTGTCCACCCTATCTCTCAGCATTTGGGGCCCAGCTTCCTCTCTGCCTCTTTTCACATGCTCAGGATTTCAACCCAAAGGACATTCAAATCTGACTCATTGGGTCAGGATGTATACAAGAGGGTCAGGGAAAGGGAACTCCTAGTGATTGAGCACTCTTAATTCTCTAGCAACTGTGCGTGTTCAGGCAGCATGCAGGAGACAGTCATCACTTAGCAACTGTAGGACAGGGAAAGGTAGCAATTACCTTTAGAAACTCTGTTCTGTCTCTTTGAGGTCTCCTAGTTTCCAAAGGTGCAAATCCTAACCAGAGGGAGACTTTGCTTAACGATGCAGCTTCAAGAGTGTTGGGATGTGCAAATATGAGTACTGTTGCAGCATGGGGAGAAGGCGCAGCTCTGCTGGACATTGGACAACCAGAGCACTGGGGTGCACTCTGGCAGAAGAGGACCAGGAAGGAGAGAAAGGAGCAGCTCCCAGCAGGACTGGAAACCTGGCGTCAAAGAGTAGAA